GGATCGTTTTCGTTTATATTGCCCCAGAGACGATTTACTTCCATTCCGATGTGGGAGACTGCGGCCAAGGAAAATTCCGTACTAGTTTTACGGTAAGATCCACTCTCGAGTATCTTTATTACACACTTTTCTTCGAGATGGAAATGATCTAAGCAATTGTAAATCAAAATAGACTCGTCCAAGTTCAACATTTTGTATATATCTTAAGTAAAAATATTCAGGCTACTTTGCCTATTGCTGGAGTTGCGGTTCCTTTATGGTTTATTGTGGATTCCCCTTGACTAAGTCTGCATAAATCTCATCGGAATGACAGATGCATTACACTTAGTACGTTGAAGCCAGCCTTCGTATCTCCATGGTTGTCATACGAATACGGATGTAAAGCGGTCCATAGGGCAGTTTGAGTGAGTTATGGCACGTCTAGTGTTCGAGAGCTTCTAGGGGCAGAGACTAGGTTCGAACCGGTGTGAAGTGTTCCTCCCTGGCCTGTCCGGCCCACGCAGATACAAGGGCTTCGTCGTAATAAGAGCTATGTTGAAACGGTCGGACGAGCTCAGAGTGTAGAGGAAGCAGCACCACTTGTCCAAAGCATCCATCAATCAGAGCTACCTCATCTACTTCCGTACACGGGCTTTCTCGAAGCCCTCCAGGTGGGTTGTAGATTGACGAGGCGAAGGCCTCTCTGCGAAAGAAGGGCATACACGCGCAGTCGAAAGATGTACAGATCAGACTGTATGCCTCCCTTCAGCTCTATTCTCCCCCCTTTCTCTCTCTCTCTCTCTCTCTCTTTCTCTATCTCTCTCACACACACATACAGTCAGTGTGCGGGAGTGTGTATGTCGCTAGTTGTACGTGATGTCGGGTCACTAGACTTTGCTCATTAGAGTTGGACCGTCAGTCTCTTGAAGATCCACATGGAAATTCAGCTCGGTCCCGGGCAGACAGTGCAGCATGACGGAGGAGAGAGGAGTTGGCTAGCACCGTGGAGCGACGAGGAGATGGAGAGATGGAGAGATGGAGAGGGATACGAGTGCGATGGGGCCCAGCAACCCTGAGCATTACCAATGGACAGATTCGCGCAAATTTATGACTTCGAGACCAAGACAGGTTGCGGCCACCAACCCCTTACGCTCTGGTGCTACAGCTGCAGAACAAAGGGCAACTGAGATTGACCAAGTCCTGTGTTCTCCAGGTG